CCTGCTGCTCCTCTGGCCTTGCAGGCTGCACACACCCCTCCTGCTTTGCCACCCCCCTGCCAGCAGCATTTCTGGGCCCTCCCTGATGGCTCTGCTGTCCCCCAGCTCTGGTTGTTCCCTGGATCACAAAGCCATGGGATGATCCTGATACTCTCTTGCTGACTTCTTGCACTACAAGGGTCCCTGTTTAGTGTCATTTCTTCTTCCTCACCTTCAGTCTGAAACTTCCATGCTGCACTTTGTGGAGATTTCATTCTATTTACAATATGGAGAAAAGCTCCATCCTGTCAGATCACCTCTAGATCTTCTCCACTTCTTCCTTATTCCTTCAAAATGGGAGCCCCATACCCACACAGAGCAATCCAGATGTGGTGGCACCGGGGCTGAGTCCAGGGAGGTGACAACTCCCCTGTCTGGGTGCCCACAGTGCCCCTAAGGCAGCCCCATGTGCAGTTGGCCTTCAGTCAAGGGGTCCCTCTGATTCTTTGTAAGGTCAGGGAATCGAGTGGCAGTGTGACACTGCTGGGCCTCCTGGAACCAAAGGAATGCAGGGACACTGTCCAATCTCCTGGAACTAAGGGGCCACAGTGACACTGAAGAGTCTCCTGGAGCCCCTTGTGCCTGCCCAGCACTCCATGGAATCAAGCAGAGCCGCTGCCTCCCCCCCTCCCACCGCACGGACCGGAGTCGCCGGCTCTGCCCCGCTTGGACCCCTCTGGAGTCAGCGTGTTCTTGGGCAGCACAACTGAGCTCAGCCCAGAGAGTTTCCCACAGTTTGCTTTGCCCCCTCTTTCCTGGGAGTTTGGTTTTTGTTCTTTGTTCATTCAGGGGAAAAGGGGGAAGGGAGGCACGTGTTGATCCGTGGTTTGATCTGTTTTACAAAAGAGAGTTGGGGCAGGGGGGGAGAGGAGGCAATTTCTCTCTGCTATTGCTTTGAACTGTTCTGTTGGTATTGCTGGTTTTGCTGCTGTATTTCTTGTCAGTGAACTGGTATTTTTTTCACTGGTATCTCCTTGTATTTTGTCTGCATGTATTGGTGGGGAATAAAAGGAGAGTGAGTTCATTTTGTTGGAGTTCCCTCCCCAAGATGTGTCTTTAATCCAGGACAGTTTGCTCAAGGGCTCCCTGAAATTTGGCATCATCCATAAAGGACCTGAAAACACCTTTATGTTCCAATGTACAGACACATAATAAAGATGTTCTGAAGTGGTGTTCAAGGGCTGGTCACTGAGGCATTTCCCCAGGAAGTTGCTGCCAAGAGGACTTTGTACCATGGATTTTATTTGACACTCTTCATTCAGCCAGCTTCCCACCCACCACACCTTCCACCTTTTCACTCCAGCTCTCACCAATCTGGCCATAAGGAGACCACAGGAGACCATGTCACAGGCCTTGATGAAGTCTGGGCACACAACATGCCCTTCTTCTCCCTCCCACAGGGGTTCTGCAATCCCTGCCTTGTCCTTCCCATGCCTGGCAATGGCTGCAGGAGGACTTGCCATGTGCCCTTCTCTGCTGAGCCTGAGCAGTCTGGAACTCTGCCAAGCCTCCTTGCTGCCCTGTTTGCAGACTGGTTCCATGTCTGCCTTTGCCAAGGCCCAGAAACCTCTGGGATGGCTCTGGCCTTTACAAGTGTTGGGGAGAGTCTCCTCTCTGAGCAGGAATTTAGAAAGCAAGGGGGTCCTTTCTGCCCCTCGTAGCTCAAGGAGAGGCTTCTCCCAGAAACTTTGTCCAAGCCTTCCAGCCCCACCCCCAAGCCGTGACACACGGGCATGTCTTGTCCATGCAGGGCAAACATGGACTGCTGAGCTGGTCATT